TGCTTAAACCTTACATAAAATTTGTACTTATCTTTTCAGAGTTCGTTATTTTCGTATATGATAGATCATCAATTCAGTAAGAAAGAAAAGAAAAGAAAGTAAAGGAAAAAAAAAAGCAAAGGAAGATTATAAAAGATTCGAATATTTTCGACGATAAGTCGTCCGTAAACTGAAATGCATTTGGAGAGTTTAGCGTACGTAAATAAAAAAAATATAAACGAAGAAGAATAACACACGATATGTAATAATAACGAAGAATAATTCATTCAATGTAAAATTACGAAACTTCAAAGTTATATATCTCTCCGACTGCACGCGACCCCACATAATTATAAAGATTATTATCCAAAAATCTCCATTATAACATATATTAAAATAAAAAAAATCTGAGATACGATCTGTATACGCCACGCAATTCTTTCTATAGATTAATTTATAATTTAATTACAATTTAATTTTATTATTACACTTTTATATTGAAGAACGAAAGAACGATATCTAAACGAACAATTAATTATTATAGCGTATCAGTTCGGATTTTTGTACGAATATATCCCGCTTGCACGATGCGTACGGCTTACTAGTCGCTAAAAATTTTCTCCGGCCATCGATAGCGCGCGATATTCGATAAGCGATACACAAAGCGATACACACGAGTAATATCCTGGAACAGCCTTTTTTCCTCCTTTTAATCGACATCGGACGCGGTTCTCGAAAGTCGAACGGCCGCACAAGCAACTGAAAGTTGTAAATAAAATCACGGTGATGGAATCGGTGTACCTGGCGCGATTCCAAACCTTTATCACAGATCGTAAAGCGGGCATAGCGGCGAGGAAAGCGCGCGCGCGCGCACATAGATCCGTGCCTTCGCGCGAGCTACAAATTCGACGAACGTTCGGGCAAAGGATCTCTGATTTCGACTATAATCTCCGGGAGACGCGCTCCTTTGTACGCAGGCACGTCTCGACACTGCTGGCGCGCGAGCTTCAGTCTGTCTGTCGCGTTGCAGAGGTACGACGGCGAGATCCACGACGGCGTCGCCGTGGACACAGCGTGATCGGCAGAGTCATGCAGGCGTAAACGAGCGCTACGTTCCGCACCTCCAGGCAGTTCTACCGGAACGCCGTCCACAGTCATCCACGTCGAGGCCCTCCGCCGCGAGAATCCGAACGAACGAGTCGTGGCAGATCTCGGCGAAGGAGTCGAGGCGACGGTCCCTGGTGGCTCGATCGGCGGTCAGATACAGGCGGCAGGCGAAGTCGATCGCCGGCGGGCAATAGCGGAGGAACTGGAAATCTATTATGTAGCAGCCGCACGGGGCTTGCCGACGGGGTCGTGTCGGAGCATGAGATTGTTTGCCCAGACGTCGCGGTGACAAATGACGTTTCCGCGTGTGCTCAACGGCGCCAATAATCGCGGGATCTTCCGGGTCCATCGACCAATCCGATCCACCGCCTGACGACGCTTTTCCCGCGCTCGTCGAGCTCGCGGAGCAGATCGATGACAGGGTGGACGGATGCGGCCGTAGCGCAAAACACGAGGCTGGCCTTCGAGCTATCGTTCTCTTCGATAAAGAGCACCTCGTTCAGCAGGTGCCCGCAGAGCTCGTGCCGGTCCGGCCGGCCGGTCTCCCGCTGGAGTCTCCCGTCATCGGAACCAGGGACCTCGAGTGGAGCCTCGCGAGGCTTCTCAGTAGCAGTACACAGTGCTCCTCATCGAACGACACGTATTTGTCCATCGTGACGTAGCCATTTATCGACGCGTCCTCCAGAACGATGATGACGTTCCGTTTGCAGAGGTAACACTCGACCGCCCATTCGGGCCGACCGGCCAGGTCCATTCGCTGTATCAGATCCGCGCAAACAGCGATCTCCTTGTTGAACGCGCAGGCACTCCAGCGTCAAATTGCCGTCCGGCGGCGGAATCTTCGCGAAGAAGCGCAAATTTCCCGTCCCGCCGTTCAACGCCGCACCGTAACTCGCAGCTGACAATATTAGCCGAGGAAGCCCTTCGTCTCGAGCTGAACGGCTGCAGCCGCCAGTAGGAAGTCACCACCGCGGAGGTTACGCCCCGATACCTCGTTAACATCGTCATCGGTCAACAGCCGCGTCTACTGTCGACTCTCTGCAGCTTGATCGCTGACGCGGTACACGTCGTCGCGTTGTCGGCATTTAACGCGCCACCTGACTAGAAATTTATCCCATAGCCCTGATCAGGTTAGTTTGACTCTCATTTGGTCATCAGATCCGGATAAGATAATGCCATCAGGTCCTAGCTTAGTTAGAACTATAACGTTGACGTTGAGGGTTGATTCGACGTCGATGAGGGTTGAATTAACGTTGATTTGACGATTCATCAACTATTTCAACGTCAAATCAACGTCGAATCAACATTATAGTTCTGATTAGCTACTAAATCATGTCAGCATGGATATTAGGATTTTATTAAGGATTCAGTCAAGTCCTTATTAAGTTACTTTGTTGAATCCTTCTGACGTTTTATTTCAGCTTTAAGGCTCCTGCTCAGTCAGAAATGTTTGGTTCATATGACATCGAACCAACATCGAAAACTCAATGTCGAAATTCAGATTGATTCGACGTCGGAAGCATATAGGTATAAACTTGTCTTTCACCGCAACTTCAGTTTGAATGTCGAATTAATCACTTAAAGAAAAGTTATTCCTCCTTTTTTCACGTCTCGCGACCGCTGAGACCGAAAATTGTTACGCATACACACACATGTTTATGTCTCCTTCTTTGCCCCCCAGGCGAAAATATGAAACTTCGACCTCAAAACGCGCGGATCCGCGCGGAACGCCCACATTCATATCCTGATCCGCGTTACACATTGCTTGACTTGATGATCGAGCGGCATGTTAATCGTAAGAACATCGTAATCTTTTACGTAATCTTGCGGTTCTATTTACGGGCAGAAATTAATATCAAATGGTTAAATTTTTTCTGCAGAGAAAAATATTTACTTTCATGTTTTGTAATAGTTTTCAAACGTGCTGATTTCAAATTTGAAGTTGCAAAATTTAAAATGGCGGATCAAAAATGGCGGACGTGAAAGTAGTAAATCTTGTAATATAGATTGTATTTTAATGAAACTTAGTTTGTATAAGTTTCTTGGTATACTGATTTCGCATTTATGATTACTGTTGTAAAATTCAAAATGGCAGAATAAAAATGCCGTAGCGATGACTAAAATAATTAAACGGCTAGGATCTGCTGTATTACATTCATAGATCGTGAAAGCTTGCCAACTCTTGTTTGCTCTCGCTGTGCCTTAGCCCACTTCATCGTGGTATCGATATGATAAAAGGAGTGGAGATTGTAAATATGCCGGCTATTACTGTGACATATATTGCACTTTTAAATTTTGAATTTAAAGTAACAATGATTATAAATTCGAAATATGCATTCCCAAAAACTTACAGAAACTGAGTTTCACGCAAATAAACTCAATATTTCGAGATTTACTACTTTTCGCCATTTTGGATCCACCATTTTGAATTTAGTAATAGTGACCAGAAATTTGAAATTAGCATACCAAAAAACCTATACAAACTGAGTTTCATTAAAATACACTCTATATTACGAGATTTACTATTTCCAGGTCCGCCATTTTGGATCCGCCATTTTGAAGTTTGCAATAACGACCTCAAATTTGGAATCAACATCCTCAAAATCCTCCGAAATATCAATCTTACTTAATATACCTAACTTGTGATTGTATTTTTACATCTTTTTGCAAGTTTCAAATAATCCTTTTATTTCACAATATTTAGATGAGCGTAACTTTGCAAGAAAGTAATTTTTACCATTAATGTGGCAAATTACTGAAAAGTACAGTCTTTCAGCTTTAATTTCCATTTTGACTCATGTTAATACGATGTCTGGTTCTTAAGTTATGAAGGAAAACGTTACCCCGAGTCGGACTCGGGGTTAACCGTTGGGGCACAGCTCGCTTGTCCCGAGTTAATAGTTATAATGTATTCTTATAGTGTTTATAGAATATTATGACATATTAACATTGAACAAATAAACGTTGAATAATGTAACAACATTAGGTATGCGACAATTGATACAACACATTGTATATCAGTAAACCAGGATATGTATATGTGTGATATGTATGATTTCATATTTGCTTTTAGAATTTTAAGAAATATTATATAAAGAGTAATCTCCAAACAGCAAAAATCAATTCCAAAAAACTCCAATGTTACGTTAATCTTACGGCTGTTTATTAATTACAAAAGGAAAAGGATAATTAACTACAACTGGTCATTATCAAAACCTAATAATCCCAACTACATAGACCCCCAATCTTTATAAATTTATCTTTGATAAATTTTGATCGATCTTTTTATAAAATTTGGATTATTATGAATAATTAATTATACTTAACAACTTTTATAAATTTTATATAATACAAAATTTTGAAATATATAAACAACTTGATTTTAATAAATATGATTTATATTACTTTTATTTTATTTTTTTATTTTTATATAGAGAGCTATTAAAATTTATAACATTTATAAAATTTTTTTAATATATATTTTTTAAATTTTAACAAATATTATTCTTATTTGGTTTCATTTCCTTTATTTTCCTTCATTTTCCTTCCCTTTACTAGTTTAATTTTCGTCTCACTTTCCATTGCAGAAATTTATATAACATATATCAGCAAATTTTAGAAAATCTGTTTTCATATATAGATATTATTTCCTTTTATATTGTTTAAATCGGACGAAGAAATGAGAAAATATAACGCCTTTTTCAACTTCCATTTCGAAAAATATTGACGACAATACAATGTCCTGCGACATTCACCGTACGTTTCAAATTTACTCACAATGTTATTTGCGGCAATAAATATAATAAATATTTATGCCGTCTTATGCCCCCAGTTCAGATTGACTGCGTCTCAAACTGTAAACAATTCTTGAAATGCCCGAAACCAAACGAAAACAATTTATTAGTGACGTTCAAGCAATCCGTGAGTAACTATATCGTCACCAGTACTGTGTATACAGCGGATTTTATTATTTCTGCTAAGGTATCGAATACTATAATTTCTAAATTAATATTGCATATTCAGTATTATATCATTAGTTATACAGGCATACTAACATGGACATAACAAAAACATTATTTCCATACACTGGAAAATGGATACCTCTATGTTACAATAAAATCTTTCATCCAAACCTTTGCCACGTTTGCAAGAAGACTAGAGAAGAGACAAATCTGACAACATGTGATCGGTGTTTCTTCATCTCTTATTGCTCCGAAGATCACAAAAACCTACATCTTCCACAACACCGCGAGATTTGCATAGCTATGGAAAAGTTCTTGAAGAACAACCCGCAATATCTCACTCGCCGCTTGAGTCTGAACAAATGGATGGATGCACAAATTGAATTTTGTCAATCAGTTAAAGAGAATCTAAGGCGTGTACTTGAAAAGTACGAAATGCAAATGCTCACCTTCGCTAGATCATGCATTATTTGTCATCAGCAGACCGGACTGTATTCCTGCAAAACATGTTTGTCCGTCGACTATTGTCTAGAACATAAAAAGAAATTCGAGCAGAAACATCAACAACGTTCCTGTAACCGTTTGATAATGTGGCTCAATCTTGAGCTCTCAAATATTCAGTATGAAAGTGAAGCTTCATTATTGTTAAAATTTACGAAGTTTCCCACTTACCCAAGATTTTTCAATGACATGACAGAATTTATAGAAAAATATGTACAAAATCAACCGAGCGAATGGAGTGTTTTGGATTACAACTATACCGATTACTTGTCAGGGCCGCTCTCAGTATATTATATTATGTTACAGGCAAAATTATCTTATATTCCACTGTTGGGACCTACATGTATCATTCATATTGTAGAAGCAGACTCCGTAGAAAGGAACGGTTTACCAGCTTGGGAAATATTGTTGCACCTTTTCCCAAATATACAAATACTAGTAGTTGTATTGTTAGGAATAGAGTTACAATTTGAACTTGGTTCACAGGAAATTTGTTCCCGTTGCGTTTGTAATAAGAAGAAATTTATCTATGAATGTTGTTCTACGACATACAGAAATTATATGGACAATCCGATGTATGGAAAACCGAAATTGATTGTAGCTTTACAAACACTATTCATTTCTAAATCACCATTGTATATACAGTTAAAAACAATGCAATCTCAGGAATGTCCGGTACTTTTAGTTGTTTCATTTCGCGAGACAATGTTAAGAGAAATAGCTGAAATTAAGAAAGTTCTGGGTGAAGATGTATGTCCTATTATTAACATTGAAAATAAATTCGGGTCTCTAAGACCGCACAGGTTATTTAAATCTACCTATTACCGTAATTCGTTTTTAATTGTCTATAAAACATTAAAGAATACAAGCAGTGTGACTAAAGCATTAACTATCAATATATGACATTAGCTAAAACTGCATATAATTATATTTTCATTTTGGTCGCAGGAAAAAAATTGGTTGATTTGATGTAACAATAAACAGAGCAAAATATGTTTGGCACGTTCATTGTCTCGTTAATTAAATCAATTATTCTCCGAATAAATAGTATGCTAGGTAAATTATTTACACAAATAAATTAAAATTTCCCTAATAAAACTATATCTGTGTATGCATGTGTTATATAGTACATTTTTCAAAAAAATATGAAATACATAAATTAGTTGACGTGAAAACGTATATTTATTATATTTATATTATTATATTTATATTTTTCATATTTATATTTATATTATTATATTTATATTTTTGTTTGAACAAATGATTCCTTTATATCATATATATGGATTTCCTTACATTTTATACATCTTTATATTTTTATAGTTTTTTATGATATATGACGTGTGTTTATATTACATTTATTATTCTTGTAAATACAATGCGTCTAAATTTATATATCCAAGCGGTCACAGATGAAGATCATCAAACGGAATAGAAATATCTTGTACTATTATATAAATTTCTATTTTTATTACTAAAAATTTAATGCAAAAATATTCACAAATAAGTATGAGATAAATGCGGTGGGATAAATTCTTTGAAGTGAAGACTCTTTCAAAATGATACGGATCTCTTCACAATCTTTTGACAACCGTAGACAACTGAAATTAAGAAAGTTCTGGGTAAAGATATATGTCCTGTTATTAACATTGAAAATAAATTCAGGTCTCTAAGACCATACAAATCTTTTAAATCTACCTATTACCGTAATTAGTTTTTAATTGTCTACAAAACATTAAAAAATACAAACAGTGTGTAATGCCGTAGGTAATGCTAGGCAATAAAAACACGGAGTTTGATAATATTTGCTCGTATTATGAATTTTCATTGTCTGCCATTAAGCATTATCCGCTGTTACTAAAATAAGTTGTCGAATTCGATAAATTCAATCTCTCAGCAATTTCTCGTGGTGTTAAATGACAATTTTCACTAATACCTTTATTTGATTTTCATCAACCTCAACTGACTTTTCAGGACGTGGTGCATCTTTAAGGTCGAAATTCCCAGAACGAAATTTCGAAAAATTCTGACACTGGCGTTCAGTCAACACATTCTCTCCATACGATGTACAATTTTTTTTTGCTTAGACTACATTTTTGCCTTTAAGCTAATAAAAAAGCAAAATATGACGAAAATGTTCATGTTGGTTTTCCATTTTTGATGCGACGCCAAACAAAAACAACTTGACAGATTCCAAAACAATTTTTTTTCAATGAAGCTTGAAATGTGCGTTGCAAAAATGTAAAATGATTTTCTGGTTAGAATGAGGTTAACTGTTTAAAAAGGCAACTAACGCCATCTATTTGAAAAAACCACAATTACTTTCGGAACAACCCAATAGAAATTTTGATCAAGTATACCCGATATTGAAAAGGACCTAATAGGATAAGTAGAGATAATTAAATAAGATCTTATAATGTCCTCGTTACAATTGAATAAGGAAGATCCTTCTAAGATTATGATGATTGGATCCATATTGGACCTTAATATAACAACCTAGTGTCTCTTATAAGGTTTAATTGATTGGTTTCTTGTTGGGATTTTTAATCACTGTACCTATGTATGTGGCTTGCATGATCAGATTTCAACAAGTTATAGTTAATTATTTTCTGACAGTCAATAAAAATAGCCGTAAAATTAATTAACGTGATATTGGATTTCTTTGGATTTGTTTTAAGCTATTTCACTGTTTGGAGACTAACTATTATTATATTTTGTTAAAAATCTAAAAACATCTATAGAATGACACATACATGCACACGTGCGCGCGCACACACACACACACACCACACACACATGCACGCATGCACGCACGCATATTAGTTGGCTAATATATATTGCATCAATCGGCACATATCTAATGTTGTTACGTTATTCAATGTTTATTTACTCAATGTTAATATGTAATAATGTTCTGTATAAACACTATGAAAATACATTATATAACCGTCAGTTGTAAAAATATCGGAGCCATTGGGGTTGCTGCGTGCCGTTCGATCACCAAGGTTAAGAAACGTCTAGCGCGATCGAAACATCGAATGTCCTATTTGCGTCGTGGAGAATCGAAATGCCGGAAAGGACGCTCGCGACACTTCGATGTATACGTGACGATCCTTCGGCTCGGTCATGAGACATAAGAAAAGAATTGAGAGTAATTTTTTTTATAAACATATATGCACATTGACGTTCCTGGAGTAATTAATTCGACATTGAAACGATAATGAAATTATGGTCGAAAACAGGTCCATATTCATACACTTTCGACGTCGAATCGATCCGAATACCGACATTGGGTTTTTGATATTGATTCGACGACGTATGAATCAAATATTTCTGGCTAGACAGAAGTCTTAATCTGAAATAAAACGTGGAAAAATGCAATAAGGTAATTTAATAAGGTCTTGATATCTACACTGCGTTACATGACTTAGTAGGACCCGATAATATTACTTTACTCAGACCTAATAACCAAATGAGATGAAGCTAATTTCATTTATTCCAAGATAGGACTATGGAATAAATTTCTGGTAGGGATGCAAAGTCACAATAAATAAGAAGCCCGACAAAGACCTGATCAACTAAATCTTATTATGATACACTAGTTAAGTACATTAAGGTCCTAATACAGCAGAAACTATTCGGTTGATATAACCAAATTTCAGTTACGCCAACCGAAACTTTCCGTTCCTCAGGAATCAACTAAAAATTTCGTTGCAACACAAGCGAAGTTCCGTTGGAAGGTTTCTGTTGTCTCAGGAATGTATTCGATCACCTAAACTGAACAGTAATTTTATCAAGGGTACAAGTTTCGTTCTTTATACAAGTAAACAGAGCATCCTTGTGTACATAAGTGGAGGAGGAAAACACTTTACGCGGCCGGTTCAAAATCGCATCATTGGCAGCGTCGTCCAACTTTGTCAAACGAATCTTATCGGTCGTGGCAACTGAGATTTCGTTTCTCTTTACTCTGCTGTGCTAACTATATTTTCAAGACCGAAAATTTTAATTCCTTCAGTCGAAAGCAATTGTTGGTGTGAATGGTTCTTCGGCTTGAGAAACAGGATTTTCTGTTACTACAACCGAGCCTCATGTAACAAAAAAATTTCTAGCTGTCATCTATAGAATACTTTTCTGCATGAACGGACCCAATCATTATAACCTTACAAAAGTCCTGCTTACTCAATTATCATCAGGACATTACCCATATAGCACAGAAATTGCAGCAACATTGCAGCAAAGTAAACCGTATTCGCAAGGTATTTTTCCGACGCGTGAAACATTTTGGAGATTACTAGAAACATAAAACATTTATTTACATATAATAGCAGTGTTTCTGAGCATCAGGATGAAACACACTTACTCGTGGTGCATCCAATTCACAACTGACCCCGATCAGCGCTGACGCCTAGCATATATTAACAAAATTATAGCAATTCACCATATATCCCCTATGCCCATCTGTCCCCAACTTACCCTATAAGTTATAAGGTTAATTCTGATTAGGATTACCTTTCATTCAGTCTATTAGATCCTTGTACAGCATCAGGCCTACCTGGTCAAAATTTCTCGTCCGTCTCCGTCCGCAGTCCGCATCCATCCCTCGCGCGAGAACGCCGATCGACCTATGCGCTGCGTTTTATACCGCGCCGTTAACGCGCGCCATCAACGCGGCTCACGAGATCGTAGCCGGGAGGTGCAATTGTTTCGATAAACTCGCCGGCCGGATAACATCGCACACTACACATTCAGCCATTATCTGCTCGCTAGAATCTACAGGTTGCAAATAGACAGCTCCGGCCGCGGCAGGAGTCGCAGCGTCTTGACAAATGTCTCGCACGCGGCGACCCGATGTAATTTATGCCTTGCCGTAAATCTGCTCCTCGCCCGCTCCTACCCCCGCCCCCCCCCCAGCGATCCAACCATCGCAATGTGACGAGGAAACGAGTCACGCGTGATATACATTGTTTCCGGACGAAAAAGGAGGAAAGAGCCCGCGCGCGCGGCGCGAGGCACTGTCCGCCCAGCGAAAATTAGTCGCCGGAGGACTCGCGCGAAAAATCGGCCGCAGAATCGGCGCGGAAATGCGGCCGCCACGGCCAGCCGCGTCTCGTCGCGGCAATTATCGGCTCTCGCCGGCGGATTCTCGCATGGATACCGTGCGGATTGTAATCGGCCGGTGCGCGAGCGAACGAGCGAGCGGGCGGCGGTTTCCGCTCGTGAAACGTCGAAAGCGGAATTTTAGATTATCGCGCGCGTGTGTGCACGCGCAATTGTTAGCAATTAACCGATACGCGAGAGCTGCACGACCGCTAATTAACGTCAACGAGACGCGCTAACAGATTCGGGAAGCGTCGTAGGACATGCGGGATGCGCGAAGAGGAGGCGAGGGTGAGGCACGGGGCGAAGAGGGGGAGAGAGGGAAGAGCAGGGAGAAATAGACGCGTTAACGTTAATTACGCGAACGTTATGCGAGTCGTCGAAGCATGGCGCCTCGATAAAATTGCCGGGATTGGATTTTCATCGCTCATCGCGGGCTCGCTCAGCGCGTCGACGACGGCGACGGCGACGACCGCGGGTTTACAGGAAAGATGCGAACGCGCGACAGGATGTATAATAAGCGTGTAATCCCAGGCGGAGAAACTGCCCGGCCCCGTCGGGTGCTATAAAACAATTCGGGAGAACTTCGCGACCCTCGTAACCGCCGAAATTTATTCGCCCTTACCGTAAACGCATCTAACTTCCCGGAAGCAACTATTAATGGGGTCACACTCTATATAGCCCTTTCGGCTTCGTTACTTTACGGCGCTAAAGATAATTCGATTAACCATGTTCAGAAGCCGGGAATAGAGACGAGCACGCTAATATCAATGTACACGACGGGCCGACTATTTGAAATTACCTATAGCTGGGTTTCTGCCTGGTTTTTGGCGTGGCAACCGTCCGCGAGCTAGCAGCGCTTCGCTTGCTCGCCCCGGCGGAGC